GGGGAAGGCTGGTACGGCCCGGGGATGCGCGGAGCCCCAGGGCGCTCAGCCCTGCGCCCACTCACCGCGCACACGAAGCACTCGGGGTGCCAGACGCCCTGCAGGGCCGACAGGTAATTGTTCATCACGGGGCGCTGACAGCCCTGGCACTTGGGGGCAAACATGGCCAGGAAGTCCTGGCGGCAGTACGGCTTCCCGCCCTGCTCGTGGAAACCTGCGAAGGGGTGTCAGGGTGGGCACCTGCCGGGGGGCACACGCGGAGTGGGGGTAGTGGGACATGGTCACGGGGTGCCCAGTATGGGAGGTAGGAAAAAGACCACTGGGGGTTGCTGGGTGGGGCAAGAGCTGGGCTATGGGGGGCATACCCGGGGTGGGGGCAATGGGGGCAGTACGCCCACGCTGGTCCCGTGGGACTTACCCTCATCTCCAAACACCTTCCCACAGTGGGTGCAGAAGAAATGCTCGGGGTGCCAGCTCTGGTCCAGAGCCATCAGGACCTTCTGCTGGAAGAGGCCAGGTGAGGCAGCTGGTGGTGTGGGGCGCTGAGGGAGGCTGGGGGGGGTCTCACCTCACGTATGGGGCCGGCACAGTAGGCGCAGCGGGGGGAGAAGTCCTGGTGATAATCCTCCTCGCAGTACGCCTGCCCCTGCCGCTCGCAGAAGGGCTGGGGCCCCAACCCGATGCCACGAGTCCCGGGAAGCGGGGCAGGGGGGCTCACCTTGCCAGCGATGGGCTTGTGGCAAGCGGCACAGGTGCCAGCGGGGGCGGCCGTGATGCCCAACTCCTGCAGGTCCTGGGTCAGGCTGCTCAGCATCTTGCCCAGCAAGGCCTCCGCTGCCCCCACGGCTCCTTGCCCTGCTGCCACCAGCTGCCAGGAAGGAGGTCACTGAGGACTGCAAGTGGGACAGGTCCCCAGCCCTCTCCTGGGGACTAGGGCTCACCTTGTTCTGTATGTGGCCCAGGTCAGCCAGGAGCTCATCCAGCTGCTGGGCAGCTGTGGTGAGGGGGGGTGTGGGCAACAGTGGCTGGGGGGCCAGCACGGAGCTGTTGGGCACAGCAGAGAGTGAGTGATGCTGCAGCTTCCACCGAGGGGGGTGTGCCTAGGACTAAGATCTGTCTACCCCCATGAGACACTGCCCTTTCCCACCACAGGTCAGAGCAGGGGACAGGAGGACATGCTGGCAGGGGGCTGCTGGGAGCCCAGCCCTCCCCCCAGTAGTGCTGTAGGATACAGGATACAACCCCAGCCCCAGTATGCAGAAAGATTGGTTTTTGGGGGTAGATGCAGTAGGCCAGGTGACATCTGGAGCTCACATCCAAGCAAGAGCAAGGCTATCTCTAGATGGCTTTGCTCTCCCATGGCCCCATTTTACCTGTACACTGTCTTTGAAACCTCTCCTGAAGGCTGAGCCCGAGGTGGAAGCTGCACCTGGAAGGACAAACCTTTGTGGCCAACCTTGCAGGATGCTTCCCTGGTGTCCTTCAGTGCCTGCCCATCACCACCACCCATGGCACAAGCTGAGCAGAATTTCAGCCCCACCATCTTGAGGTCTTACCTTCAGGGCCACTGAGGTAGGTGGCTCATGGCCACAGGGGGCTGGGGGCCCAGCTGAGGCTGGATCCTGCTTGCAGAAGCTTGGTGCCTGTGGCAGGCACTCCTCAGAGGCTGGGAGGGAGCTCTGCTCCAGTTCTGCCAGCAACGCATCTGCACAGAGAGACCCAAGTTGGCCACTCCAGGCACTGGCTCCCCTCGCTGCCTGTGCACCCCTGAGCAGTCTTGTGCCCCTTGTGAAACCTTGGGAGCAAAAGTACGGCCACAACAGCTTCATCTAGCCAGATGCCAGGGCCCCGAGGGGCTGTGGTGGCCCTGAGCACCCTCACCTGCACCTGATCCCCAGCATAGGATGCACCCATGGCACTGCACAGCCTTCCTGGGAGGTGGGGCACCTCTGGCAACGGGGGTCCTGCTGCCCCACACCCATCCTTGGCTTATGAAGAAACATCCACCAGCCTTTGAATTCATCCCAGCACAAGCCGTGGCAGAGGAGAGCTGGATCTCAGAGGTTTCTGTGCATCCAGAGCGGTGCTTCCCCCAGGAGGGTAAAACTCTCTCTTTCCTCTTGTACCTCCCACCTCGGCCATCCCTCAGCACCTCTGCCACCTGATGCCAGGAACTGGGGCCTGGCCCAGATTCCCTGACCCCTCTCCCCTCCCCAGGCCAGGGTGACCAGTACCCTTGGACACGATGCTGCAGCCTCAGGCAGGTGCAGCCACGAGTGCATCGCCACTGCCACCCCTTTCCTGACTTCGAGCCTCCTCCAATTTTGGCCCAGCCCTCTCGGGG